TCCCATTTGTTAAGTGATATGTATATAAAACCACCCCTATATAAAAATAACAATACTAATACAGAGTTAATTTACATCGAGTCTACTGTTAGAATCCAAGAATTACTTATTATAATGTAAAAAACAAATATTATGAAGTTAGATTTTTTGGATTGGAAATATTAACTAGTTTGAAGAAAATATTAATTTCAATATTATTAAACAAAGATAATCAATCTTTATTTTATGATGATAATTGTTAAGATATTCTCTTGAAAACTACAATCATTACATGGTTAAAAAAAATGTGTTTATGATTTCACTATATAATATTTCAACTGAATAATTTACTCGAAATTTTATTTTCCAAAAAAAAAGAGAATAATTACAAAGAACCATGGTAAAGATTATTACTAACTATTTTTATTCATCTGAATTATAAATAATAAATCAATTAATTAATTAACATAATTTAAGAATGTATCTATTTTCCTTCTTTCTGTTAATAAGAATCACACTAATGTGATCATTAACTGCTATTTTTATTTTATTTTATTTTATTTTGCTTATATGCAATTAAGACAAGCCATTGTTGGAAGGCTTCATTTAATAGAATGAATTTATATTTTCATCTATCTGCTATATTTCATGTTGTTGAAGAAATACAATCAACTTCTTGTATTTTTGTATTAACAGACAAGAATGTATCTTTTAATTCTTCTGATTTTAGAGCCTCTTGAAGCAACCAAGCAATATATCCAATAACTTTTCCTACCCTACTTTCCATATCCTCATCTCCATATACAACTACTACAGGTTTGGATAATTTGAACTGTGTTTTTCCTTTGTTACCAGATGAACACTCTGAAAAGAACCATTTTTGGGAATCTGTAATGATTCCAAAAACTTTACTGTCATCTGATAAAGCTGATTCACACTGCACTAAATTTTGTGCAATTCCTTGCATAAAATCTTTTGCTTTTACTTTGGTTACTCCAATGATTTTATTGGTTTTAGCAATGACTAGCCCAAAATCCACAGGTCCATGGCCATTCGGACCCAATATGTTCTTTTCCAAGCGGATCTGTAACAATCTTTAATCTTGATTGATCGGTAAAATAATTCTAGTCGAAATTAGGCAATTAATCCATACCATATTTGGTAATGTAGAAAAATTCGTTTTGTTT